CACTCATAATTACCATATGCTCACTAGTGACTAGGTTCGTGAGGGAATTCTCAGAGTTCTAGTGATAACCCATGAACAGTGGAGCTAATCCGTGTCAGCTAGAGACAGATATCTACCTCAGTATAATGGAAGATGGTTGCGCAATTCATTGTATTGGTTGAGGTAAACATTAACACCGTTAGATGCCGTCCAGCTCAGTGGTGAAGAGTTTAAGCATTCAGGGGCGATACTGAGGGTCCTAAGTTCGAATCCCTCGAGCGGGGTCATGGGTGCCCACTGCTCACTAGTCTTGTACTAGGGTGAAACAGCTACTGAGTGCTTTCAGATTTTCAATTACGGTCTAACATCAATTGATTCATGATCTCAATCAAAAACTCAATACAGGTCAGTTGACATTATAAGATTTACTATCAGAATAAATAAAGATAACATCGAGTAAGAGGAATAATAATGAAATTACGAAGTGGAACAAATTTTCGGCCAAGGATTACGTAATGCATACGCATGTTCATGGATAAATTATTTGAGCATTAATATGAATTCTGCTTATTTGGTTTTAGTGTGCTATGCACTAACCCTTCCCCCAACTGACTACTTGAGCGAGAACACATGAGTGAACAAGAAATTATATTGGGCTGGGCTACCAAATAAAAATGCCGATTCATATACATACCACTCTAATCCTTAGAAAATTGATCCATTTCTTATTCAATGAAATGCACTAGTACTCTAGGTCAATTTTAATTGCCATCGATTGACTTTCCGACTGGCTCTCCATATCTGGTTTCATAATGTTAATTTCATGTCAGTTTCATGTACAAATTACACACTGTTCATTCCTGCATTTGGAAATCTATTTCACCAACAGTCGTAAATTCATAATCAGTAACTTTAAATGATGAATTTATCGTAAACTCGGCCACTTCGAGATTATTAATTTAAATATATAGTTGTGGAACCTAAAGAGAATTTATTGAAAAGAGTATTCTTGGTTAAGATATCTGTGATTTTTACTATGATAGGAATTTTCGAGCAAATAATTAAACAACAGATCGTTTTCAGTAGTATCATTGCAAATGCATTAAATAGTAAATAAAAGAACGTTTAGTTATATAACAAGTAGACTGAGAGAAAATCAATTCGCATATTTCAAAGTCAATGTGCTGCATAAATTGATGAGAGCTGAATAATCATTAAAAACTCCTTTGAAAGCTATGATCCGTGAAGTTAACTTAGTCGACTGTAAAACTGAACACAACTTTTTAATCATAAACAATTCGTCGATAAAATGGATTGTTCTATGAACAATAAGTTAAAAGGCCATGGACGTACTCTACAACATAAAATGACGAATCACGTGTATGCAGTGTTTCTCCATCTAGTATCATTCCATAATATAAGATACAGTGAAAATGAATAAAAAATTTCACGAAAACTAATTGACTACTTTACTGATAGCATTATCTTACCGTAACCTTCTAAAAACACGGCTCTAATATCTTCTTCTGTTAGCAGAAGATTATTATCTTCAATCCAACCGTATAAGAATTCATTTTGAGCAACTGATTTCGCTTCATGAATTTCTGAATCAATATTATTATTCTTATCCATTAGGATAATATCTATAAGCTTATCCTTTACAAATTTACATTTACTGTGCCTGGTTTCGTTTTAAAATAATTCACTTTAAGTTAGTTTATGCCACTGTTTCATTAAACAATATATGTTATATTTTTTTTTAAAATTTCATTTATAAAATGAGACAACTCGTCAGTTGCACTATCTGTTTGACCTTGTCACTATGGAAATACAATTCAATTTTCACTCATATTTAACATTCGAATTGTATTTCGCTTTAAATTAGAAAAAAAAAAGAATTTCATTCACTATCTAACACTGAATTGATAATTTAATTGATTAAGTGATGAAAATCAACTACAAATAAGTAAAAATTTTGTTTTTAGATTGTTTCCTTGAAATTGGTTTCTGGCTTAGTTAGTCTGTAGATAATAAAGGACGAAACGCGAGTCCTGGATTTCACTGCTAGTCACTACCCGTCATTGCTTACCAAAACATTTTTTTAAGTATGTTCATATTTCTTTTGAATATTGAATGATGAATTACTTCATCAGTTTTTTTCAAAATAGATCAAAGTACCTGGTTAAGTATGAATGCTATTTATATTATACCTACTGGGTACATGTACCAGTGTATTTACTTATTTTTATCACTGAATAAATATACTATTCCACCCAGTTAAGTATCATCTGCTTTCTGTTCACAATCAGTAGGATATATGTGAAATATATAAGTATAATGAATTAAAAGCTTGTGTCATATTTACACCGTTTAATACTTATACTTGAAAAGAAAGTAAACCAGAAATCACTGCAATTTCCATGAATCGAAATAAGAATACCAAGACTGATAAGAATGAACCTCCAAAATACGATGACTTTAGTCGAAAATACACTCATATATATATTGATTATACACTCATTTCAATTATTAATTAGAAAAGAAGTCACATATATGAAAAATGATCAGAGTAATAACCAATCGTACGGAACATGGTTCATATTAAATTAATATAATGAATATTATATCTTGAATAAAATATCACATTAAAAATAAAACAAATATTGAGATGGTGGAGAAGATTTGTAGCTCAGGTGGATGATTTTGGTGGAGTTTTGTTCTCTGAGCTGGATGGTTTGGTCGTGGAGCTTTCATCGTCCTTCTGAACGACATCATCAGCACAAAACTCCACCAAAAACAAATATTCCATTGGGTAATTAACATATTGAATTAAAAACCGGAGTAATATTGAATAACAATTACAGTGAGTAGAAGAATGTAATTTTACAATTTAATCCTATTATATCAACTTCATGTGTGTTTAACTCTTCAAATACCGTCGTATTCAACTCTCCAATACTAACATCAATGCATGTATGAGTTAATGATATCATTACAGAGTTTCGATGTATTGTGATTAAAATACTGTTTCAGAATAATATAAATGCTAACTAGATATCCCAACAATGAGCAAATTAATATGCTCATGATGAATCAATATACAAAATATATGGAAAGTTTACACGCAAAGCAGTTTTAACGAAACAATGTAATGTATAAAAGGATTAATAATTACTTACGAAAGTCAATAATTACTAGAGAGGCTTTCTGAACTTAATTTTTATAATTTCACGTCTACTACAAGATCAATAAACATTAGACAAACTTTTCATGATGCCCTGAGATACACTTTTATTATGTGACCATGAAGAATAAGGTATTTTAATGCACGGAATAAAACTGACATATAAACAATTGAACTCCTTAATATTCAAAAGATATTGTGTTTGTTGAAAACATATGTCTTTATTAAAAAAAAAACGTTTTGATCTTAACAGTTTATGAAAGAATGTTTTTAAGGGAACTTTAAGAGGATGAGTCTAATCTAATCAGTGATGATCCATTTTTTAGTACAGGTAATGATCGAATGAACGCAGCCAGGTAATTCAATGATCATTACGATTAACAATGACAAATGTAGTTGACATAGTAAACCTTACAAAAACAAAATCCCAACTTCAACATTTACCTTCCATATTCATCTTAGATTGGATTATCTATCGATAGTAAATAAATTTGGAGCAAAGTGTTTATAATTATGAAAACAATTCTCTATCTAATAGTTTACTTATTCATTCAATTTCTGCCAGTTTATGTCTATTCAACTGATAAATTGCCATACACAGGAACACGATGTCAACAATTTGATGTGTTCAGTATCCTGAATAAAATATAAAAAACAAACTAACTTTTACTCGTCGTTACTAATGATGTTACCAATAATATAGGAATTTTACTGAGGTTACTGACTTTCTTTTGATTCTCTTATCAAAATTTACATCTCGATGTTGCAAATTATGGTAAATATAATTACACATCTATATGTTTCATTTCAAACGAAAAGTTGTTTCATCAACACTGTGTAATAAGTTTTTTTCGTTTTTCTGACGTAGCATTCTATGTTAGTAATTTCGAAGGTTAATGTTACCTTTCCTAACAATAATGGAAGTGAACAACCTCTCCTTCGAGTTCCAAAGCAACATCCATCAAAACAACAAGATTATGTAGAAAATACTCCTTTCAGATATTTCACTGTAAAGCCTATTATATATATATATATATTCGCTTATAGATAGGTAGATAAAAAAACTTTAACAGTTGGCTATGATTGAAATTATTAATTTAAGTAGTATGATACTTTGGTTCGTCCTCGAAAGAATTGTCGAGGATCATTTGTGAAAACCAAGTTATCACAAAAATGTTCATAGTTCGGCTACGTATCGTCATCGTTTCACATCTCAGGTATATTTCTATTACAAATAGAGACTTAATCCCTATATCTTTAAATTTCTCTTTGTTCTTACGTCAAATGGGAACCTAGGTTACGATATCAATTGCTAATGATCCGAATATAGATATGAAATTAAAAGGTGATGTGTTGACCTAGAATTGATTCCTACTACGTTCCTAATTTACATTAAAATGTACAATATTTTCAAATCATTAAACAAGCTAAATGACTTTTATATACTTCCTTAAGTTGTAAATATTGATTCATAGTAACAATCACAACATAATAACTGTAATAATTTAGTAAGTAATTTTATGAATCAATAACAGTAACACTAAATGTACTTTCATCGGTTTTTTATTTGCGTATGATCTAGTTATTTCGTTTCATAGAATATAATACGACAATAACACATAACCAAATAATTATTAAAAAAAAGATTGGGTATACAGTAATGATACTAATTATTATTATTATATTGTTTGTAATGTATACACTAATAGCAATATTTGGTATTATGATTATATATTATAACTATAATTCTATGTCTACAATGAACTAAATAAGTAAATTAATAAGAAAGGAAATCATACTACTTAAATAATAAAGAGATAATATGAGAGAAAAATATGGATAGAAAAATGAAATAAACAATGAAAGAATAGATTAGAAGTTTAGAAAATGTTCTTACATATAAATAGATTATCATATCTAAATATTAAACAAATACAATTAACACTTAAAGAATTCTGGAAATTGTATATCTAATATAGAAATCTTTTTATAAATAGTTTTTTTCCATGATGAATTAACATCACGTTCATTTAAAATTGCATCAGCGAATTCCCATACTGTAATTTGAATAGCCTCAAGAAATTCTTTCGGAGTCTGTAACAATAATAATAATAATAATAATAGATATTACTTCAATTAATGTTATTTAGTTGTTCCTTAGTTTATCAATATAACAATGAATTTAATGGCCAAGCGAACAAAAGTACATCTTATGCACTTAAAAAGATGATTCATAAATGAATGGGAATGTATCATTTCATTTTACAAATAATTACATATGCTCACTAGTGATCAGCTCAGTTAGACGATTCTCGAACTTCTAGTGAGAAGCCGTGACCAATGGAGCTAATCTGTGTCACGTAGAGACAGACATCTATCTCAGTACAATCGAAGATGGTCCCTCAAGTTCGTAGATTGGTTGAGGTTACATAATAACATTGTTGGATGCCGGCCAGCTCAGTGGTGTAGGCCCTTGGTTCGAATCTCATAAACAGAGTCGTGGATACACACTGCTGAGGAGTCCCATACTAGGACAAAACGGCCATCCAGGGCCTCCAGGTTTGTAATGGTGGTCTAACATTAATCGATTCATGGTCTCAATCAAAAACTTAATAACCTTCACGACCCCATACTGATAATTATAGTACTTATATTAAACATTGTTACACAAACGAAATAGCTCTTTAATGTTTGACTAAATTCAATTTTTAGATGGCATGCTTCAGTAAATTAATTGTTTACAAAACTATGAGGATAGGGTATTATAATCTATAGTACAAGATTGCATTAACAGCTAGTATCATATAATACTTTAAACTACAAAAACGTAAAACGATTTTAAAACTTACTTCAATTTCGTCACCTTTATTAAAATGTGTTTCCATGCTACGTATTAATTCATGTTCACGTGATAGTCTAATATCATCTGCTTTCTTTAAACCGGTTGCTTTTTGTTGACGAACAAATTTTTCGATCTGTATGTAAAAAAACTCTCTACACACAAAATAATGAGGAAAAGGGGAGATAGATTAAAGATTTGGATGAATAAATCATCATTTGGTTAATTTACAAGGTATAGTACATTATACTGATAAATATGTATTAAAGTAGTCCTATAGAAAATCTTAGACATCATTATGCTTGGTGACATAAAGCTGGTGAAATGTCCATCTTCTCCAGTTAGAAATATGTTTACTAACTTAAACTATACACTTTTCAAATTGAAAGGAAACCATAGGGCGTAGTGTATTAACAAAGGAATGTTCATTTTCTAAAAAATTTATTTACTAAGTGAAAATGATGAAACTTGATTATGTGTTTCCTAGTTGAGTTGCATTACATATTAATATTGTGGTATGAAAACTCATATTATCTACTATGTGCATGTTAATTTTTACAAATTCCTATTACATATAATTATAGAAAAATAAACCGTAAACCACGCACACAAATAATTATCTTCGTTTCTTTATACATACAACACATACTGAATTAATAGTTAACATCTACACAACTAACAAAATAGCGTACACAAAGAGATACATACGAAAGCGAAATATGAACAAGACATTTATACATGCAACTTGCGGAACGATTAAATCTCACCCACTTTGTGCAGACCGATTCAACTATGTTCTTTCCTCTTTTTCTCCATCCTCCAACTGATGTTAGAGAACAGTGAATTCGATGATATGAACAATGTACAATCGGAGGTGTTGTGCATTCATGTATAGATATTTACGATTAAGATATTTTTTGTATAATAGCTTACCGGAAATTACTAAACCATTTTACCAACTGTGCAGTAGATCCACGATTAAAACAAACTTCTGGAAAATATGACTTCAATAGACTTGATGTTGGATAACGGGAATACATGAACATCATTTTAGCTTTTTTCAAATGAGCTGCACTCAATGTTGCTGTCTAAATAAGTAAACAAAAGAATATATTTATCGTATTTGCTTTATTCAATCTAAATGAAACAAGAATAATGAAGTTTTTTAGTTTCATCGACTTAAATGGCATGTATGTAACTAAAACAAGATTCGGTGAGTTACGAGAAATTAATAGTATTCTGGAAACCTTATTCTTCTTAGTATCTTAGAAATCTATTAATATTTACTATGTATCTGAAATGATCTAAAATGTGTTACACCTATTCGATATTCAGTTTGCTTTGTGAATCTTCTACAAGCTACCGAAATCTCGATAAATACATACATAAATATCTGATTATTTCACTCTAAAGCCTGAAGGTCTTAGTTCCTATCCTTGACAAGATTGTGAATGTACAGAACTTGTAAATATCAAACTAGGACGAAAAATCTGCCAAGTCCTTCCAAGTTCCTAATAACTTTTTAGTTTATAATGTAGACTATAAAATAAAAGATTATATATACAAAACCTGACATAAATGAGAAGCCTCAAATTAATTCGTTTTATTATTACTCAGTTCAATAGTAAATCAGTATTTTTCATCAACTTACTCTAGTTTGACTATTAATTATTGATCTTTTCAAACGTGTTTGAGAACAATTACTTGAATGATTATCTGATGAAATAATTTGATCTGTTTTATTATTATTATCATTATTATCTTCATGATCATTTTGATGAATTCTTAAATCTAATGATTCATCTAAATGAGGAATTTTATTTGGAAATTGTTCTATATCATTATTTAACCGACGTTTATTACAACTTGGTGATAATTTATTTAATTTTCTTGTTTGATTTCTATCAACAAATAATTGACTATTAAATTGATGAATTCTTAATCGACGTGTTTTATTATTATTAGTAGTAGTAGTAGTAGTAGTATAACGTAATGGTTTTATTCTTGTTGAATAAGTGGATGATTCTTTTGATGTTATGATTGTACACTTTGAATTAGCCGATTTTTGTTCAGATGATACAATATCATTAGGAATAAACTCTACTTCATTTGATTGATTCTGATTAGATTGATTATTGTTAACATTTTCCAATTCTATATCATTATTATTATTTTTGGTAAATTTTAAATTAAGTGGTGTCACATTACAATCTTGTATACCATCTAATTGTAAAGATTTCATTGAATTACAATAATTTAATATTGTTGATGAATTATACCAATCTTTATAATGATAATTTTGTAAATATGTTTCTAATTGATGCATACTATTATCAATAAGACGAATCATTTCACGACGAACTTGATTTAGAATTTGATTACATATTTGATTACGACTTTCAATTGATTGATCAGTATCTATATTATTATCATTTTTAATAGTTTTATTAATCTTTTCAAATGGTTTTGAATAATTCAATTGATCATTGAAAGATTGTTTATTATTTTGATATTGTAAATTGTTTATATTAATTGAAGATAATAATTTTGTACAATTTAAATCTTGTTGACTTAAATTAATACATTCATTATTTTGGTTAATCATAGATGGATAATTATAATTTCCATATTTTATATTAGATTGTAATAATGAATGATATTTATCATTCAATTCTTTATAATATGATAGTTGTGATTTATCATTCTCGTCATTCATTCCTAAATTATTTCTATTATGTAAATGTCTATGACAAGAATAATTTGGAATTAGACGAGCTTGATTTAACAATTCCAATGCAACAATTTCTAGTTTTTCTTTTTGATTAATAGAATTATGAATACATTCAACAGATCCATAATCTTTATATTGATTTATTAATTCAGATGTCGGTAAATTATTTGAGAAACCAGTTGGAGTTGAACCAGATCCAACTGATGAATATCCTTCATCTGATAATGGTATATAAAGAGGTGTTGTTTTTTCATTGGTTAATATATCTTTATATCCTGTAAAACCTGATGACATTGAATGAAATACTGGATAAGGATTAGATTGAAATAATGGTGTAGAATGAATGTATTTTCCTTCTAAACCATTAAATTTGGGTTTTAGATATTCAGGAGTTTGAAAATTTCTTTCATCTTCTGAATAACTTTCCATCTTAATCCTTTTTTATTAAATGTTTCTAAAAACAAAACAAAAACAAAAAATACGGGAATGCATTCATTGTAATTATAATTATTCTTTATATTGTTTTAAATACATAATCAACAAATGCATTAATGAACTGCCCTATATGTTATTCGAAAATATCTAGAAATGAGTTGTTTAAATTTCTACTATTACGAAATTAATCATGATGAAATCTTAACCTCCCAATAAAGAACTATTTACAAGGGATGATGAATTAAAAATGACTGTATATTTCAAGAAATTGGCCCATAGTACAGTATACAAATCAAATGGCCAAATACGAAGCATTATTTGTTACATAATCGATGTATAATGATATATGCTCCGCTATTAGTTACAGATTTTCATATCAGTTGGTTCTTCCAAGTGTATATGGAGCCAAGTTTGGAATTATACTCTATTAGTTAAGTGTTAACTGTTTAGACCATTAAAAGATGATTTATAATGAAATGTCTGAACTACGATTAAAAAAACTTACATTCTAAAATAACATGTTTCCTCTTATCATTTGTGAGAAAGTTTCCACTTGGCTCACAATGTACTTAAGATTACTATTTATAGAATCTTTGAATTATCCAACCTATCATCAATCTAATCTATTTCAAATGAATTACAAGTAAATAGAAATACTATATAGGCATTTACTTATTATTATATATATGATAGATTGCATTAACTAAAATATATGGCTACTAGATTAATTTAGTGAGAGTAAAAGAAATTACTCCGGTATCACTTAATTAGTTCAAAAGTGCGGTTTTATTAAATGAATTAAAAATTCACTCATCTCATTAACATACTTATAACTAAGAGTATCGATGGATTTTAAGTAGGTTCATTAGCACTAATGTTCTCGAATAACTTTTTTCTATACTATTTAATCAATGACGATATTCATTAAATTTTCCCTATAATCATTTCATCTTCCTCCCTCTCTCTCTAGAGAAAAAAAAGTAAAATAATAACTAAGTCAAAAAGTCCAAGAAAAAAAGTGAAAGCACCCAGTTCCTATCATTATGCACACAGATATACCTATCATTGTCAAAAAAATATTTAGTAACAGAAGAATGACCTTATGAAACAGTACAAAACCTTACTGTTCATAGCATCTCACTTCTACTATACTATCCAGATTACTGCCGGTGCTATAAATCACAAATGCTATACTTCGGAACCATTTAAAATTGAAATACCATCTAACTGAGCATAGATTGTGTGCTCGGTTACCATGAAATTTAACATGGAAACTGGCATATTGCTAAAATACAACTTACAATTCAATAACTTATACTACATGAAATCATATATAACACACAAATAACATTTATTGGTTTTTCTTTTTGAAAAGTCAATATTAATCAGATAAAATTCAATAGTCTGAAGTTACAGAAAAAAATGCTTTTACTTAATTGAAAGTTTATACCCTATGGATCAACCTAGAACCTTCGTCATAGAAATTTAATACTAAATAGTAATGAGAAAGCAAAAGTCATAATGAATTAACCAAAACATTTATATAAATATATAACTTACTTGAAAAGTTGAATTTGACAAGTTGTTTGGTTAAATTAGCTATTTAACACTTGGTGATCTGTTTGTTATTGAATCACCGATATATATTGTCAACTTCTCGTGAAATAGTTTAATAGTTTGAAAACAAAGTAGTATTGAAAGTGGATATAAACTTTCGAACACTGAGCTTTTTCTAAAAAAAATAAAAGGTAAATATTCACTATATTTAAGCCTATTTATACATTTTCCTGCTCATCTCTTTCAACTGGTTTCATCCTCTCCCATATGAATCTACCAATCCCATAAGAAGATTAAATTGACACGAGTACACATCTTACTTTCTTTATTCAAATTTTAGTTGCTGGGGTTTATGAAACACTGGTACACTAATAATTACTATTATTATTATTATTATTATTATTATTATTATTATGAAATTAGGAGTAGACAAAAATACTCTGACTTTTATGTTTCATTCATAATTCATGCCCAATTTCTTATTCTGCTTTAAGTGAAGATGCTGGTTCACTAGCTAGCTTTCCTTTAATCACTATATTTTTTTTTCAAATTTTCTCCTCATCCTATGTATAAAACTTTCATTAATCAGGGAATAGATTAGCTACATGTTGTTTTTTCCCTCACCCTACTTTTTCATTTTTAATCTTCTAACACCATTCATTTGTTTGTAACCCAATAAATACATATATATAGTTCCTCTCTCGTCTATACCCCCCTCCTAAAATATTTATATGCATATAACTAAAGGATTGAACTTTGTAACCACGTGCATCTGACCTGTAAATAAGAACAAATATCATATGATCAAGATTATGCTGAAAATCAGAAAAATGAGACGTTATAAACAATTTTGACAAAAGGCAACCCCTTCCATTTTCTCTCCAAGCATGCATGCGAATATATATAATCCATTCATACCCACTCTTTACTTTATTAAACCTCTTAGACAGTTAAATAATGTTATAAAAAGGGTGCCCTGGTATCATCTTCAAAAAGAAAAGGGGAATTATGAAAAAGAAAAAATTAGCAAACAAACTAATTATATGCTGGTGCCACGTTCTCTTTTCTCTATAAAAATAAAGTCAAATATGACAGTAAAATAGTAATAACAACATCAAGAACTATTATATTGATAATAATAGCAGGTTAAACAATACATAAATTAACCTAAGGCTAAATTATAAGAATTATTGAAGGGGATTAACTATTGGGAAGAAACTTACCATTACTAACAGGGTATCCTTCGCCTCAATATTTCTTGGAACTTTTACTGCTTACTCAAGTAGGGAATACGCTTTCAAGCCCAATCACTTATATACATATCTGTAAATTTAATTACCACCGAGAACTAGCGACTAGTCAAATTCACTAACGAACTTCCGAGTATTTCCAAAATGACTAGGCATTAAATCTAACAAATCCAGAAGAAAATGTATTCTTTCATTTAGGGCATAGGAAGCACTAGATAAAAAAGATCAGTATTGATTAACATTTGATTGTAGTCATTGAAGTCTTTGAGGTTAAGACATTTTGTTTACTAGTCATATGATAATTAAAAATAAACATAATCCAATCTCAGTACGTGGTTATGGAGAATATCGAGATTTTGATTGAGATCATGAATCGATTGATGTTAGACCACCGTTGAAAACCTGAAAGCATTGGACGGCCGTTTCATACTATTGTGGGACTCCTCAGTAGTGCATGTCCACGATCTCCCTCTCGTGATTTGAACCCAGGACCTTCGAACTTTCGCAAACACTTAACCTCGGTGTGTATTGAACGCTCCGCAAGATATATGATCAATAAACTATTATAAGATGTTAAATTAACTGTAGAACTTAGCATAGAGCTGTTACCTCTAATCACAAGAAGATTCGGTAAAGACAGCAATGTCAATTGACTTCTGCAAAAATATAGGCGCTAAATACATTGGAAAGCGGGAGTTCCCCACAAACGTATTATCTTAGGTAATTTGCTGTGAAAAATTACTCTGTAAATTAACATTACCTGTTTCATCATCTTCTAGGTTTAAAAGATAATTAGTAGTGTAATCCATAAGTATTGTTAAAAATGTAAATAAAATCCAAAATAAAATCGATTGACTGCTGAAGAATATAATTTTGATGGTGAATGATTTATCGCTCCTGTTATAATCAAAAATATACATAGGTAACTATTCATTTCCTAACGTAAATATCACACTACTGGAAAGTATTCTTAAAACGAAGTCATAACATAACAGTGAATTTGCTTATGAAGTACTTAGTAAATTGATTGATTGTAATCAACTTGTGTATTTATAGAAAATTGCCGTTTTCATCGTCTGCTAATGTACTTATCTATTTAGTACAATACATATCAATTAAAGATATTTAAGTACACTATTTTGTTCGAATAATCAGGAAAACAAAGGAAAGACTACAACTCTATTCTCTAAAGTTTTGTTACCTTTGAACATCTTAACACTTGACCATTGAAAATATTCCAAAACGTTCGAAAATGTCATTGAAGTCATCTTTGTATGGCTAAATCGTAGGATATTCATGGTCATAACACATATTCTCTGAATACAATTTTGATTAACTTAAGAATAATTCTTTTAATAAGCTAGTTCTAACTGGAAAAAATTAGCAAGTAGGAATCATGCAATAGTTTTTCCCATCTTTGCATTAAATGAAATTGCGGTCAAGGGTCTAACTCAATAAATTACAAGTTCAAATAGCTCTATGATTTCTTTTTCTGTGTATGTAGTTATTATTCCTAAACTTCACATAATGCATATCACTTTGGACCTAATACATGAACATAAATTTGGTTTTGAAGTAATGTTTACCATACTTAGACTTTTATTAAGTTATCAGCACTGCAGATTTATACACTAACTATTGGATGGGACAAGTTAAGAAGCTAGCCAGCTACTCATGAACAACTAGACAAAATTTCAATGATCGCAATATGAAACCTGAATCAGGTCTTTAACACATACACTTATCTTATGATACTGTATTGAATTGCTTCAATTGACACTTAGTTGGTCTCGGAAATTGAAACAGTCTTTACAACTATATTTAATATGAAGTGAAATTTCATTTGAAAAGTTATTCACATACTAAGCTAATGTCAATCGAACAATCGAAGAAAACCACAAATTTGCGATACAACGGATCTTCTTACATAAATCTTAAAATGTTAGCTATGTAGGATTGTTCATATTACAAGCCTTATTTGATGAACCAAAGATTATTGACAGTATATAATCAAATTCCATCTGATCCCTACATCATTTATGTAACTATCACAGTAACCAGTTTTCGAAGTGCGTATGTCTTCGTCATCATAAATCTTTGAAAATTCAATCAAAACTTATAGGTATTTAAAGAATTATTGTTTATTGTTACTACCTGACTATTATCAATCTTATCTTTGATTTTCTG